GGTCAGGGCGCTGGATTCTGTCCCGGTTGCCCCTCTTCCAGGCCAGCTCTCTGCTGTGGCCCGGGAGTGCAGTGGAGGATGGCCCAAGTGCTTGGGCCCTGCACCCCATGGGAGACCAGGAGAAGCACCTGGCTCCTGCCATCGGATCAGCACGGTGCGCCGGCCGTGGCGGCCATTGGAGGGTGAACCAACGGCAAAGGAAGACCTTTCTCTCTGTCTCTCTCTCTCACTGTCCACTCTGCCTGTCAAAAATAAAAAAAATAAATAAATAAAAAAAATAAAAAAACTGCATATCAGGGGCCGGCGCTGCGTCTCACTAGGCTAATCCTCCACCTTGCGGCGCCGGAACACCAGGTTCTAGTCCCGGTCAGGGCGCTGGATTCTGTCCCGGTTGCCCCTCTTCCAGGCCAGCTCTCTGCTGTGGCCCGGGAGTGCAGTGGAGGATGGCCCAAGTGCTTGGGCCCTGCACCCCATGGGAGACCAGGAGAAGCACCTGGCTCCTGCCATCGGATCAGCACGGTGCGCCGGCCGTGGCGGCCATTGGAGGGTGAACCAACGGCAAAGGAAGACCTTTCTCTCTGTCTCTCTCTCTCACTGTCCACTCTGCCTGTCAAAAAAAAAAACTGCAAATCAGGAGCATACTAAGCACCCAATATTGACTGCTGCTCCTATTCCCTCAACACTACATTTGAAGCACTGCTTTAGCTGTTAGTGGCACATCAGTGGATAAGATAAATAAAAAACCTCTGTCCTTGTGTAGCCACATTACCATTTTCATGAAATATGATGAAATAGCATGAAGGTGTGTATGTAAGCTCACCATTGGATCCTAGGAGTCTACCTTTCTCAACCCAACAATGCCAGATTCAGAGAAAAGGAACTGGGTGCAAGTCACGTCTTTGAAAGGTGTTCCTGAAAAGCACAGTACGGAGAGAAAAAGGAGGCAAGAGAGAAAGGAGAGCAATGCAGCACACTGAACTAGTGGGTCCCCTCTGTGTGACCCCAGGGATCACATGACCAATATAAATGTCCAATATAAAACACCTCAGAATTGTCTTGGGGTATTTGTCCACCAGCTGGTAAGAGGTTGCTCTTGAGACGTCCTTCAAGCAGGAAGACACAGGAAACCATGCATATGCACAGGAATTGTCTGCAGGGCCAAGGAGGTTGGGTGAGAAGCCAACAGCTCTGCTCTACTAGCAGGGTGCCAGGCATGTGGGAGACACTGGACAAATGCATAAGAGAAGGAATAAAAGAAAGAGGGAAAACATTTAAGTCTGCCTGGGGGAGACACGGAAGCCTTGCCAGAGAAACTGACCACATCCCAAGGGGATGAGGCAAGAGGAAGAACATCAAGGACACAAGACAGGAAGGTTAGAACTAGCTGGAGCGATGGCAGGAGCCAGTTCACAGAAGGGTTTCTGTGCAGTCCTAACTGCCCAGAAGTTATTTTAAGGAATAAAAGAATGGGCTGGTTATACAAGTGCAACAGTGATATGGTTGATTTGGAATTTCAGAAAGATAAATTTGTCCTCCTTGCAGACGGCGCAGTAGAAGGGATTGAGTTTGATGTCAGGCAAACGAAGATGTTAACAAGAAGCCATGAAATGAGACAGTGGCAGTGGAGGTGGAAGAGAAGAAAAGGATGTGAGTTTCATCTAAGAAATAGCACAAATTGGTTAGGTGGAAAGGATGAGAGACAAGTGAGGCTGATGCTCAGGTTTCTGGCTTTTGTGACTAAGGGGAAATGACCTCCCTTACCGAGCCAGAAAACACAGGAGTGGGTGGTACAGGTGAGGACAAGAAATGCTTTGTACATCAATTGTATCAGGAGCCTTTGAACATTTGTGTCCCAGTACCTCCTAAAATAATTCTGAAATGTGTAACCCTGACACATTTTGACATTAACTGTTGAAATTGTACATGATAAGTATAAAATGTTGCAAGGGGTATAATTTCCAGCCACACTATAAATACTGGCATTTTAAAATAAAACTTGCTTCACTCTTCTAAATGTATGTACCCCAATCACGCACAGACATTAAAATCTGTGGATGCTTAATTTCCTTATATATATTTGTAGATAAACAACATACATCCTCCGATATACTTTTCTTCATTTCTAGATTATTTATAATACCCGATACAATGTAATTGCTATGTACTGTATTGTTTAAGGAATAATGACCAAAAAGAATCTATTCATGTTTGATACAGACCCATTTTTTTCCCTAAATCTTTTTAATTTGCAGTTTGTTGAACAGGCGATGCAGACCCAGGGATAGGGAGGTCTGTAATGAAATCACATATTGAGCATAATGAAATCTAAATGCCATGGCAAATTCATAGCCATTGTCATCCTCTGGAAAATTACATGAACTAGTTCTTCTAGATTTTTTTTTTAAAGATTTATTTATTTACTTGAAAGGCAGAGTTACAGAGAGAGAGGAAGAGACAGAGAGACATCTTCCATCTGCTAGTTTACCCAGCCACAACAGCTGGGGCTGGGTCAGGCCAAAGCCAGAAGATAAGAGCTTCCTCTGGGTCTCCCACATGGGTAGCAGGGGCCCAAGCACTTGGGTCATCTTCTACTGCTTTCCCAGGCACATCAGCAGGAGAGGGATTGGAAATGGAGCAGCCGGGACTTGAACCAGTGTTGTATCAGATGCCAGAATTGTAGGCTGCTTAACCTGCTGTGCTACAACTCCAGTCCCGACAGCTGAAATTTTACATCCAATCCTTTTTCACCTTGAACTAACACCTCTACCGCACTTCCTCTCATTTAAAAAAAAATGCTTATTTTCATCTATTTGAAAAAGCAACAGAGACGGAGAGATCTTTTACCTATAGGTTTATTCCCCAAAATGCCCACAAGAGCCCGGGCTATGCCAGGCTAAAGTCAGGACCCCAGAACTCCATATGGATCCCCACAAGAATGGCAGGGACCCATATACTTGAGCCCTCATCTGTTGCCTCCAGGATGCATGAGCAGGATTGGAAGCAGTGTAGCAAGGCCTGGAACCAGCACTCTGATAAAGGATGCAGGCGGTGGCTTAACACACTGCACCACAACACCTACCCCTCCTCTCATTTTTGTTCTGTTGTAATACATTTTTTAATCTTGGAGAACCTTCTTTATCATTTTCATAGACTCAGCAACAAAAATATGTATAGAAATGGAAATTAATTTTGCTAATTTCTTGTGACATTAAGCTCTTTTTAAAAAACATAATTCTCTAGAACTTTTATCATTGCAATTATGAGTAGTATACTATTGATCACAATGATCAAGGTATTACTAGCTTTGATAAGTTACCTAAAATTAATATTTTATTATAAATATGTCTCTTCTAAGATAAATTATAACTTTTAAAATTATTTTTAACTTTTAAAAAACTTTAAAATTTTTTTTAATTTAAAAAATAACTTTTAAAAAATTATTACTGCTTGACTGAGATGGTGTTCAACATTAATTCTATTCTATTTTCCATTTTCATAGATACAAGGGATCTTCAAAAAGTTCTTGGAAGGGGCCAGTATTATGGCACAGCAGGTTAAGCTGCCACCTGCAACTGGTTTGGGTTCCAGCTACTCCCTGTCTGATCTAGCTCTCTGCCAACGTGCCTGGGAAAGCTGCAGAAGATGGCCCCAATGGGAGAGAGACTCTGACTGAGTTGCAGACTTCTGACTTCAGCCTGGTCCAGCCCCAGCCATTGCATCCATTTAGGGGTGAACCAACGAATAGAAGATCTCTCCCTCTCTTTCTAATCTGCCTCTCAAATAAATAAATAAATCTTTCACATAAAGTTTATGGGGAATATGTATTATTTAAATTTTTCACCCAGTAAACTTATCTTTTTATTGCATTATTTTTTTCATCTACTTGAAAGGCAGAGTGGTTCATTCCCCAGATGGCTGCAATGGCCAGAGATATACCCATCCGAAGCCAGGAGCGTGGGGACATTTAGCAAAAAGGATCTTTGGGGTTGAGTATTTAACCTGGCAGTTAAGATGCACAAATCGCATAGCAGAATTCCTGGATTCAATACCTGGTCTGGCTCCTGACACCAACTTCCTGCTAATATAAACCTTGGAAGCCAACAGTGATGGCTTAAGTGATTGGATTCCTGACTCCCATGTTGGTGACCTGGACTGCGTTCCTGGCTCCTGGCCTCAGCCCCAGCCCAGTGTTGGCTGCTGCAGGCATTTGGAGTGAGCCAGCAGATTTGAGCCCTCCACCCTGCCACCTCTCTTAATAAATCATTTTTTAAAAGACTTTTTCAAAAGCTATTAAGTGATTATTAAATTATTGTAATCTACTACTTTTTTATCTGGAGGCATTTTGATTAACCTGATAAGTTAAGAATCATAAAGAAATAAAACTATTATTAATTTCAAAACACTTTCGGTAATAAGAGTCTTGACAAAGCATTTTTCTCAAGTCATGGGATTCAAATATATTTTATTCAAAACCTTGGAGCTGTATTTTTAGCCTATTTGATTTATGGAAAATGCCCACCTTACACCTAACTGGCTAAGTCAGCCTTCACTGTCAAACCAACAGACCAAATCAAACTTTCTTCCTGTCAGAAGAGATCTGACTACATTTTTCTTTTCAAATAAATGTGTTAAGACACATCCCCATGACAACCGCCTCATTTCTGCATTCAGAGAGGGAGAGAGACTTGCTGAGAATGTGTTCCTAAATGAAATATAGTGTCATGATTCTCTCTGATATATTTTACCAACTCCCTCCCCCACTTTTTTCAGCTATCACAAGACTATCAGAAGTGATGGCGTCTTTGGCAATTGGCAGGGAATGAAAAGTTTGAGGTCGTTAAATAAAAGTTGTCATCATGTCCCTCCCCTACTCTATAGTGTAGGTGAATTCAGAACATCCTGATGGGGACAGAACGGGATGCCACCTGTGTCCTTCACATGGTTAATGTAAGGCAAGAAACAATTCAAGCCTCATGCAGGGGGCATATTGCGGGGATCCGAAGAGGCTCCACCTACACCAGGCTTCTGAATGATCTCTTCGGAGACCTCAAGGCTTTCGCCACTCTCAGTTCTAGGTGTCAGAGTAAGATGGGGACAAGAGAGCTGAGGAAGGAAACTGGCCCCACCCCTCAACACTAGCCATTTCTTCACATGCATCCTTTCCAGCATGATCACCTATGGAAATGGAGGTCCAGAAACTCCCTTAAAATCATCCGTGCCATCACACCTCTTGGATCGTCTCTGTACTGCAAACGTCTATGAAAAGCATTTGATTTATGCCACTGGGTCCTCACTACAGCTCTATGAGTTTGGTACCCACAAGAGCTACTAATGACTTCCGGCTAAACAAGGAGGAAACTAGGGCAAGGAGCCACTCTACTAACTTCCTGCCCTCACTTGGACCCAGTTGAATCAAGACCCTGGACTCAGCACAGTCCCTCCTGCTCACTGCAGCCCTGGGGACTGACAAACCACTCCCACCACCACTGGCCTTTCTACAGAAAAGTCTCTCTCATTTGTTTCCCTTCTACTGCCTGGTAGCTGTCCTGACTCTGTGACGGGGTCTCCGCTGCTCTCTGTCTCCTGATACCACAGGATTTCAAAAAGCTCATGGAAAAATGGAATTCAGAGAGAAATTTATTTTGATGCAAAAAATGAAATCCATGCTTTTTTCTAAAATAATACACATTTCCCATTAATTTTTTTGAAGACTCTTCACCCAATGATAGGCTAAATAATGTAGTTTCTAGTATGTTCTATCCCTGGCCCAGGCTAATTTTTTCCCAAAAGTTTATTAAGAAAAAAATTTTTAAATACTTACAAATTAAATTTTAAATTTTTGTTTGTTTGAAAGAGAGACAGAGATAGATCTTCCACCTCTTGGTTCACCCTTCAAATGTCTGCAACAGCTGGAGCGAGGCCAGGCCAAAGCCAGGAGCTCAGCATTCAATTCGGGTCACCCACAGGAGTGGCAGGGTCCTGGAGTCTGCTTCCTTTCAGGGTGTGCATTAGCAGGAAGCTGGAATTAGGGACAGAGCTGGGACTCAAACCCAGGCACTTTGATGTGGAAGGGGCACACCCCATGCAGCAGCTGAAAGCTAGACCAAGCTCCTCTTGCACTCTCATGTTAATTGCAGGCTGCAGTTGCTAAGCAGGTCACAGGTAACCACTGCCAGCACAGGGAAAACCTCCCTTGCCTCCCCATTTCTGTTCACCACCAGCACCAGAGCTTACCAGCATGTGTATGGTGCTGCTCACAGTGGCTCACAGATTGGCTGGCCTTGGATGAGGCAACCAGTTCAGCAACAAGTCCATCCAACAGACCTGGCCCCCTACTCTAGGGTGTAATCAACCTGGATCTTCTTACCTATTACACTTTAAAAAAAAGATTTATTTATTTATTTGAAAGAGTTACACAGAGAGGCAGAGAGAGAGAGAGAGAGGTCTTCCATCCACTGATTCACTCCCAGGTTGGCCACAACAGCCGGAGCTGCACCTACCTGAAGCCAGGAGCCAGGAACTTCTTATGGGTCTCCCACGTGAGTGCAGGGGCCCAAAGACTTGGGCCATCTTATATTGCTTTCCCAGGCCATAGCAGAGAGCTGGATTGGAAGTGGAGCAGCCAGGACTCAAACCAGAGCCCATATGGGATGCCGGCACTGCAGGTGGCGGCTTTACCCACCACGCCACAGCTTTGGTCCCATCAGGTTTTTTTTTTTTTTTTTTTTGACAGGCAGAGTTAGAGATAGAGACAGAAAGGTTTTCCTTCCATTGGTTCACTCCCCAGATGGCCCCTATGGCTGGCGCTGCGCCGATCCCAAGCCAGGAGCCAGGTGCTTTCTCCTGGTCTCCCATGCGGGTGCAGGGCCCAGGCACTTGGGCCATCCTCCACTGCCTTCCCGGGCCACAGCAGAGAGCTGGACTGGAAGAGGAGCAACCAGGACAGAATCCAGCGCCCCAACCGGAACTAGAACCCCAAACCCCAGGTGCTGGCGCCGCAGGTGGAGGATTAGCCTACTGAGCCACAGTGTCGGCCAGGTTAAATTTTATATACAGCTGAATTAGGCATGGTAGAGAAGAAAATAAGCTGGCTCTGTGGACATAGCTGTACAGAATGTGGAAGAATAAACATGGTAGAGAACTTTTTTTGGTTTTATCTTTCCCAGCCCCTAAGTTGCCACTTAACTTTCTATTGTTTGAATAGTAAAGTTAATATGAAGAACTAGATGGTGTTGTAAACAGATGTGATAATGTTTATCTACTTTTGGTTCTACTCATATTTTTGGATACAATATTAAAGCAAATGAACCTTTTTCTATTTGTATTTTTAAACACCTCACTAAGTTTTTAAAAATATATATTTATATAAAGTTAGGGCAAATATCCACCCTGAATTGAAATAATTTTATATACTCACCTGTATACCCATCAGCTAGGTTCTACTGTTAATATTTTAGTACACCTGCTAGGCTTATTTTTAAATAAATCTTAGGACATTTACATTCTGACTCCTCCTGACACACTATGGAATAGAAAAATACTAGTGTGCTTTCATCTAAGGTATTTTATTTTTAAGATTTTTATTTATTTAATTGAGAAGTAGAGTTACAGACAGTTAGAGGTAGAGACAGAGAGAAAGGTCTTCCTTCTGCTGGTTCACTCCCCAGATGGCTGCAGTGGCCAGAGCTGTGCTGATCCAAAGCCAGGAGTCAGGAGCTTCTTCCAGGTCTCCCATGCAGGTGCAGGGGCCCAAGGACTTAGGCCATCTTCTACTGCTTTCCCAGGCCATAGCAGAGAGCTGGATTGGAAGAGGGGCAGCCAGGACTAAAACCAGCACCCATATGGGATGCCAGCGCCACAGGCGGATGATTAACTTACTGCGCCATGGTGCTGGTCCCCTCATCCAACATATTTTCAAAGAATAAGGCCCCTTGGGGCCGGCGCTGTGGTGTAGTGGATAAGGCCGCCACCTACAGTGCCGGCACCTCATATGGGCACTAGTTTGAGTCCCGGCTGCTTCACTTCCGATCCAGTTCTCTGCTATGACCTGGGAAAGCAGTGGAAGATGGCCCAAGTCCTTGTGTCCCTGCACCCATGTGGGGGACCTGGAAGAAGCTCCTGGCCCCTGGCTTCGGATCGGCACAGTTCCAGTTGTTGCGGCCAAGTGGGAAATAAAACATTGGATAGAAGACCTCTCTCTCTCTCTCTCTCCTTCTCTGTGTGTGTGTGTGTAACTCTGACTCTCAAGTAAATAAATAAAGAAATATGTATATATATAAAGGAATAAGGCTTCTGACCTACAGTAAACCACAGATACAAACGTTCTCATCTGTACTTGTTGAGTCATTTATTGAGTCCAGTGGTCCCAAACCTGGAAGGACATTAGTATTATCTGTAGAGCTTTTAAAATACATCAGTTCCCAAATCCTATTCCAAACCAACACAGTCAAAATCTCTGAGGGAAAAGATAGGTTCTACCTCGCCATCAGCCAACAAGCACTGCTGAGGATTAGCCAGGCACCACCTGGAAGACATCAGGGAGAACAAGGAGAGGTCCCCTCCCCCACCTCACCATGGAATTCCTTCCTCCACCAGGTGTCCCAGCCCCTTCTGCCCAGCGCTGCTTCCCTCTCTGACTACTGACCTGCTCAACCTTCAAGACCCACCTTTCCCACACTCCCTCTGCAGGCCTGCCTGGCCGGAGGACTAAGTTCACCACTCCTTTCCAGGACCCTGACTGCTGGTTTTCCATACTGTCACCATCCTAATACTGTGCTAGGCTTTCTTGTTTCCTGTAAGACTCCAGTGCCTGTGAAGAGGCACAGACCATCCTGTCTGCCCTGGAACATGGAACAGTCTCAACACGAAAAACAAATGAAAGACCAGTGTCTATGACATTGACTGCAAGGCAGAGGCCACCTCCATGCACTGTGTATTTACAAAGACTGATTTTAAGTTCCTTCCAGATGACCTGTTTGATGGTTTGAGAGATGTTGTTTGGCCCAAAAGGACAGAAACTAGACTAGGCAGTATACAAATCTGAGATAATGAAGAGCCCTGGGGCCTTATAAGTTGTATTCTTGGATTTCTCTAATTCTTCCATTGAAAATTAAAAAAAAAAAAAAAAAAAACACTCCATCTTCCACCAAGAGAATTTGGTAATGGGAAATGGCCTAGAAAAACTGCCGTGAAATAGCCTGCTCAGCTTGCCAGAAACACATGGTGTAGGCCTTGGGGTCAGATGGGCCAGAGGACAAAGTCTTACCTCCCCTGCTACCTGTTTGACTTAGGAAGTTTACCTAACCTCGCTGAACTTCAGTTCTGTTACCTGTAAAGTGCATATAAATATTCTCAGCCATTTACTGAGTGCTTACCACGTGCCAGGCAGTGTTCGGTCCTTTGCATTCCAACACACAAACCCTTTCCAAATACTATGATTATCCCCGTTTTACGAAGAAACATTCAGTGGATTGTCAATGACTGTACAGCTAGTAGGGACAGCGTTCAAGATAAGCAACCCAGATCCAAGTACTCACTCTTATGTACCTCCTGGGGCCTTGTTTGCCTTTTTCATTCAGTGTTCCCAGATCCCGAAATAGCAAAGGACACGTGGATGCTAAAAGTAACTATTGAACAGATGAATCAATAACTTCTTGCAACTTTGTTGTAAGAAGGATGTGATAATATTTATGGAGTTTCTACCATGTTTCTGGATTTTTCATGTGTATTATCTGACTTAATCCTCCCTATGAAGTGTGTGCTATTTCTGAATTAGTTTTAATGATAGCACAGACAGAAGACAAAATTGAGCTACAAGGCAAAGTTACTTGCCCAAGGAACACATGGCTTGGAAACAGCCTCTAAGTGTCCTCACTCCAAAGCCCGTGATCTTCTCTCCTTAGCACTGGCCTTTAAATGGCTTTGCTCATACACTCAAAGAATTTTGTGTAATGTATACCTCTTGCCCTTTTTACTTGCTGCTATCTAGAAATCTTTATCACTAGTTTAAGTAATCACTGTGATCCCAGAGAATTATCAATATTGATATTTTCAAAGCATGGTAACATCATTTTTGAAAATTCAAAATTTCTGGGGTGAACATTGTGGTGCAACAGATTAAACAGTTGCTTGGGATGCCCACTTCCCTCATCAGAATGCCCTTCTGCGTATGATCCAGGTGCTTACTAATGCATCCTGGCAGGCAGTATATAATGGCCCAGTAATTGGGCTCCTGCCACCCATTCGAGAGACCTGAATGGAGTTCCAGGCTCCTGTCTTTGGCCTTGTCTGGCACTGGTTTGTTGCACGCATTTGGGGAGTGAACCAGTGGATGAAAGATACCTCTCCTTTATTTTCATTCCTGGTATCAGTACTACCACAGTTTGCAGGGCAAGGCACCTGATGCCATCAAAAGAAAAATCCCTTATAAATAAGAGAACTGAGGAGTGAACATTTAATAGATTGTGTTATTCATGGCTCTGCCTTTTGTAAACCATGGCTGTGATGGTCCAGAATATCCTGTTTGAAGCTGTAGTAACTTCTCTGGCTATGAATGATCCCTTGTCCTTTGGTGGTGGGCTGTTTGCGGTTCCTCTAATGTGGTTGGGACAAGTCTCTCAAAGTGATTTGCAGCTTTACTGACAATCCTCACTTTATCTCATAATACTAACCCTAGTCCTTTCCTCTTGAGTTTGTAGAAGCTTCTAGTACCACATGCACAACCTATTCCACCAGATCCATTACCACACCGTCGGGATTTCCTGAACTTCTTCCACCAAAACTGACCCCATTCATGGTTCTAAACATTGGTCACTGTTACCCACTCTAATTACCACAATCATTATACTTCCCAGCACCACCATAACTATAAAGGTACTTCAAAAACATGGTGGGAAATTGAATTGATAAGTAAATTTATTTTGGTGAGAAAATGTTTTGAAATCCATGCATAGTTTTTTCATAGTATGTGTTTTCCATGAACTTTTTTGAAGACCCCTTGTAACACTGCCAACTTTGTCTCCTTCGTTGTCGCCACCATATCTTCCAACACTGCTACCATATCCTCCAGCCTGGTTTCCACATCTTGATTTACCACCTCCTCTACTCCTGTAACCAGAGCCACATCCACCCTGGCTGTCACCATCATGTCCTTGGTAACTATCTGTACTGCCACTACTGCTACCACCATAACTTGTTCTTTTGCTGAAGTTTCTATCACCTCCAAAGTTTCTTCCATGAACCATAAAAGGTCACCATATCCACCTTCAGGATGTTTTTAATATCCACCAGACTGGGGTGAGCTTATGGCCTGGGAAAGCAGTAGAAGATGGCCCAAGTGCTTGGGCCCCTGCACCCTCATGGGAGACCTGGAAGAAGCTCCTGGCTCCCAGCTCCAGCCATTGTGGACATTTAGGGAGTGAACCAGCAGATGGAAGACCTTTCTCTCTGTGTTTCCCATCTCTCTGTAACTCTACCTCTCAAATAAGTCAATTTAAAAAAAAAAAATCTTTAAAAAAAAGAGACTGTAAGCAAATCTTTAAAAAAAAAAAAAGATCATCAGACTGCACCTCTTATTAAGAAATAATCTTTTTCCTTTTTTTACAATATTATTTATTGAATATGTAGAAGATGACACCATAAATTTTTTATTTATTTTTATTTTTTTGACAGGCAGAGTGGACAGTGAGAGAGAGAGACAGAGAGAAAGGTCTTCCTTTGCCGTTGGTTCACCCTCCAATGCCCGCCGCGGCTGGCGCGCTGCGGCCGGCGCACCGCGCAGATCCGGTGGCAGGAGCCAGGAGCCAGGTGCTTTTCCTGGTCTCCCATGGGGTGCAGGGCCCAAGCACCTGGGCCATCCTCCACTGCACTCCCTGGCCACAGCAGAGAGCTGGCCTGGAAGAGGGGCAACCGGGACAGAATCCGGCGCCCCAACTGGGACTAGAACCAGGTGTGCCGTCGCCGCTAGGCGGAGGATTAGCCTAGTGAGCCGCGGCGCCGGCTACCATAAATTTTTTAAAGGATGATTTTTCTGTTAGCTTTTTAGTTGCAGAAAGAGCCTACAGGTGGGCAGTAGATCATGGAATACCCTCTTGCCCTCCTAAAATCATGACCACAAGTGAGTAAAAACTTTTCAAAAATTAAGCCATATGAATATATATTCTTGAAAGAGTTACATTGCTTCTGTTAGGATGCTGAAATAGATATTTAAGGAAGAAAGCTTATATTTTGAGATGTTTATGGTTGAAAGACATATGGAAAGTTAATTGATTTTAAACCATCTTCCATTTCTTGATGTCTCCCTGTTGCTTTTTCACGCTTTTATAGAAGTATTGCTTTAGGATAATTAAAAATGAATCTTAATTTAGAATGGGATGGGAGAGGGAGTAGGAGATGGGATGGTTTGCAGGTGGTTATGGGGGAAGAACCGCTATAATCCAAAAGTTGTACTTTTGAAATTTATATTTATTAAAAAAAGTTTTCTATTAAAAAAAGAAATATTGCTCTAGGATCCTTTTTAGGTTACTTAAAATAATCATTCTTAATAAAACTATAGTTTTGACCGGCTCCGCAGCTCAATAGGCTAATCCTCCACCTAGCGGCGCCGGCACACCGGGTTCTAGTCCCGGTCAGGGCACTGGATTCTGTCCCGGTTGTCCCTCTTCCAGGCCAGCTCTCTGCTGTGGCCCGGGAGTGCAGTGGAGGATGGCCCAAGTGCTTGGGCCCTGCACCCCATGGGAGACCAGGAGAAGCACCTGGCTCCTGCCTTTGGAACAGCGCGGTGCACCGGCCGTAGCGCACCAGCTGTGGCGCGCCAGCCGTGGCGGCCATTGGAGGGTGAACCAACAGCAAAAGGAAGACCTTTCTCTCTGTCTCTCTCTCTCACACTATCCACTCTGCCTGTCAAAAAAAACAAAAACAAACAAACAAAAAAACTATAGTTTTAAAAACTACCAAACCCTCTAAAGAGAGAGAAGGCTAACATAGTTAATATTTTTTAAAATTAATCTTTTAACTTTTTTTATTTATTTGAAACACAGATACAGAGATTTTTCCCCCAGAAATCTTTTATTTAAGGTATGCAAATTCATGCATTTCATAAATACAACTTTGTATCATGATCATCAAAAGTTATAAATGCAAGGCTGGCGCCGCGGCTCACTAGGCTAATCCTCCACCTGTGGCGCCAGCATACCGGGTTCTAGTCCCAGTCGGGGCTACGGATTCTGTCCCGGTTGCTCCTCTTCCTGTCCCGGGCCACAGCAGAGAGCTGGACTGGAAGAGGAGCAACCTGGACGCGGGACTAGAACCTGGGGCCCATATGGGATGCCGGTGCTGCAGGTGGAGGATTAACCAAGTGAGCCACAGTGCCAGCCCCAGCTCTTGCAATATTTTCAAAGTAACCTCTCAAATTATATTCCGTATCTTCTTAAAACCCTGGGGGGCTTTTCTTCACTGTTCTATGAGCACCAGACTTTAGGGAATCCTTTCTAGAAACAGCTCTCTTTGGACCTACTGTCTTCTGTGGTCAGTTACACATCGCTGCACTCATCTCTGAAATAGAAAAGTAATCCACAAAACCAAAGGCCCCGGAACATTTTGTTAAGGGTGGGGTTCTCATCACCACGCAGCATGTGAGTGCCCCATTTCTCAAAATATTCTCTTAAACTAGCATTCGCAGTTTCAAACTTCAGACAACTAATAAATTGTTTCCTTGGTTGCTCTGATTCCTTGGAGTCTTTACTCCCAGAAGTATAGACACATTCCCCAGTTTGAATCTCATCATTTCATTATATTCTACCTGGCATTATCAGGACTACAAATAACAGATGTTTAGTGCATAAAATAGACACACCATAACATCTAGTTATCATCACTTTCAGTTTTTAATTAGGCAGTTACTTAAAGTAGTGAGGGAAGAGGTGCAGTGATCTCTTTCTTGCTCTTTCTTTCTCTCTCTTTCTCTCTCCTCTCTCTCTCTCTGTCTTCCTCCTCTCTCTGTTACTCTACCTTTTAAAGGAGAGAGAAAGAAAGCAAGCTTTAAAAAAGTAAAATAATGACTAGAAAGCATAGTATAGAAAATACATAAGCCAGTATCATAGTCATTTGTTATCATTGTTGGGTATTAATTACAAGTGTTACACTTTTACATAATGGTTGCACAGTAGGATTGTTCACCCCAGCATTGCAACAAACATGTATCCTTGCACTGTGGCATTATGATGGCTACAGTATCTCTAGTTGCTGTGGTCTGGCTGTCAGCTTGGATGTTGAATGTCCCCAAATGCCCATGTGTGGAAGGCCCCAGCCCCAGGAGGATGCTGTTTGGGGGCATTGCCTCCTTTGGGAGGCAGCTTCCCCCTACTTGGTAGGAGGTCTGTAGACCAGTGGGGCACATGCCTTGGAAGAGAATTCGCACCAGAGGGTTGCCGTGAAAACCGGACTTTGTGCCAGTCACTCTCTCTGTGTCCTGGCTCACCACGTGATCCCTCCTCTGCTTGCACATCCTCATCCATCAGGGGCCCCCAGTCAAAGCCAAGGCCTGCACCACGCTGTTTGGACTTGGGACTCCCAAACTGTGAGCCAAGTGAGCCTCTTTCCTTCATGAGTAGTTTGTTTTGGGTATTTCTTTATAGTGACAAAAAGTTGACTAATGTCCTAGGTAAGGGAAAATTTTCAGCTCCATTATAATCGTGCAGGACCACGTCATCTATGCATTCTGGGGTTGACGGAGTACTGATAGATGGCACAGGACCGTATTTCCGCCACTCCAAATCTACTTCCATCACCACTTCATTGTGTCACCTTCTTACTGACCTCCATGGCTCTGTGTATGCTGAGCCTTCCACACATTCAGTGCTTGCAAAATCCGTTCCATTAAGCGGTAGAGGTGGCCTAAGTCCTTGGCCCCTGCACCCGCATTGGAGACCCAGAAGAAGCTCCTGGCTCCTGGCTTCAGGTCGGCTCAGCTCAAGCTGTTGTGGCCATTTGGGGTGTGAACCAGCAGATAGAAGACTTTCTCTCTCTCCCTCTCTCCCTCTCTCCCTCTCTCCCTCCTTCCCTCTCTCTCTCTCTGTCTCTCTGCCTCTGTCTCTCTGTAACTCTGCCTTTCAAATAAATAAATAAATCTTTTTAAAAAAACAAAATCTGTTTCATCTGAAAGTCACAGCTTCATCATACCAACCTCCTCTCACTGTCCGTAGGCCTGGGCTGTTAGATGTCAGGTGCCTCTCTTTTGTGTTGCCTTGGGATTTGCACACATTTCTCATTTCTTTATGAACCAAGTCTACTTACTTGTCTTGCCACTTCTTCCTAAGCTCTTTGAGGACAGAAGTTTGTCTTTCATCTTTGCTCCCAGAACCTAGGTTGGCGTCTGGCACCCAGGAAGCATTCAATAAATGTTCTTTTGAATGATTAAAGAGAAAAAAATAAGTAACCCAACACAACCTTGTCAGAAGACCTGCAGAAAACTAGCAACAAATAAGACAATACAACAGTACAAGTAGATCAGAGGACCTAAGGCCCCCTCCAACCTTAAGCTTTGGTGATGAGTCCACGGGGCAGGAAAACTCAAAATTAATCACCTTGCTCATCTGGCACCCTCGCCTGCCTGCTCTGCAAAGAAGGAAGCTATATTCAGAACCTAAATGAGGAAGAAGCCACTGGTTTTGCAGGTGCTGTCAATTAATTATCTGTTTATTAAAACCCAGCAATGCATATCCCATCTCTCTCTCTCTCTCTCTCTCTTATTTTGGCCTCTTCTTCCTTATTGTCTATCTTTTCATGAGGGGGGAAAAGCAGCACAAGACTTACTGGAGGAATAGATGGTAGTTTAATTTGGGCTTCTCTTGTATCCTCTAATAACCCAGCACGCTGGTCATTCTTACCCCTTGCTGAATTACAAAGGATATATTATTCCTGCCCATTCTACTGCACAAGAATAATAGCGTGGGGAAGGAAGAGAAAGGGACATTACAGAAAGGGACATTATTTTTCCAGGCCTCTTTCCCCACAGAGGAAAAAGCTGTCACCACAGGGCTATGTGCTATGGTAAGGCATGAATCTTTGCCTCTGGTAATATCCAAAATCCTCAGATGAACCCAGGGGTGGAAGACTTGGAAATCTCCTCTACCAAACCAAAAATGTGAATACATAAGAACACAGATATGAGCATCTTTTATGCAATATTATTTCATGTGGCAAAAGACGAAACTGTAGAAATCGCTTAGATGTTTAAATAAAGAAAATATGCTATATGCAAGCTATGGATATTATGCAATTATTAAAAGTAGTGTTAAATCTCTTTGCATTTACCTAGAGAAATGTGAATGAAATATAGGTGAAAAAAGCAGGTTATTTTCATGAGTTTATAAAATTCCATTCTAAAAGATGATGACCAAAGTCTCCAAATATGTGAATATATATAGTTACACTGACATAGATATACACAGGTATAAAGAGAATACACAAATTTCATGTTGATTATGAGGAGTAGGGGTGGGTTGAGCAGAAGGGAATTTTGCTAA